TGGCTTGTACATTCTTGGTTTTACTCACATATTTGGTATCCCTAAGTAGCCGTGCATTTTATTTTTCAAAAATAAGATCACAATTTTCTAAACCATCCTTTTTAAAAGATTTTATTTATTTACATGAAAGGTAGAGTTACAGAGAGTGAGAGGAAGACACAGAGAGAAAGGTCTTCCATCCGCTGGTTCACTCCCCACCTGGCTGCAACAGGGCTGGAGCTGAGCCGATCTGAAGCCAGGAGCCAGGAGCTTCTTCCAAGTCTCCCCATGCGGGTGCAGGGGCCCAAGGACTTGACCCATCTTCTACTGCTTTCCCAGGCATTAGCAGAAAGCTGGATGGGAAGTGGAGCCGGGACTAGAACCGGCGCCCATATGGGATGCTGGCGCCGCAAGCAGAGGATTAACCTACTGTGCCACAGTGCCGGCCCCCGAACCATTCTTGTAACATGATGTGTTCTCTTAAATAATTGTGAAAGTAATTTCAGGTTTAAAAATATACATTCAAATGATTGTTAATGTGTGTGTTGTATTCCATTGTAATGATGTATCAGAATTTAATCAACCTCCCATTTTGGACTTTAGGTTAATCTTGTTTTGATATTATAAATATTCATCATGTAGCAAATCTTAGTAAATATCCTCTATTACTTCCTTAGGATAAATTCCAGAAATAGAACTGTTGGATCAAAGGTTATATATTTTCTTAAGGCTTTTAAAACATATTGCCAGTTACATTCCATTACAAATTACACATTTCCCAAAGGTTGTATCAGTTTATGCTGCCAATAGCAGTGTCTGAGAAGACCCAAGATGGACTGCACTTTCTTTTTTTTAAGGATTTACTTATTTATTTATTTGAAAGTCAGAGATACAGAGAGAAGGAGAGAGAAATCTATCTGCTGCTTCACTCCCTGAATGGCCCCAGTAGCCGGCTCTGGGCCATGCTATAGCCAGGAGCCAGGAGCTTCCTCCAGGTCGCCCATGTGGGTGCAGAGGCCCAAGGACTTGGGCCATCCTCTGCTGCTTTTCCAGCCCATAGCAGGGAGCTGGGTTAAAAGTGGAGTAGACAGGACTTGAACCAGCACCCATATGGGATGCGGGCGCCACAGGCAGAGGCTTTACCCGCTACACCACGGTGTAGCCCCTGGAATACAGTTTCTTGAGGAGGCCTCAACAGTATCTCCCACCTCACATGGTCAGAATGTGGACCCCAGGACTTCTCCCCGTGAACCGCATGGGCCGTTGTGTCTCCTCATGGGTGAGTAGCTACACTGGACTCAAGCAACAGGGAATAGCAAAAGTAAGGCTGACTTCTAAAAATGTCACCCACCCCACCTTGTTCTGTTGGGATTCTTGCTTTGGCGCTCAGCCCCCATGCTGGGAGGCAGTCCAGCCACCCACCAGAGGCCTAGGAGGGAAGAGAGGCCCCTAGTCACGGCCAGGTCAGTGTGCCACCTGAGCCACACCCACGGAGCGGACCGGAGACAAGCTGCTCTGAGCTGAGCTCTGCTCACTTTACAAGTTCATGTGCAAACCACTGCATTCCATCGGAGTTGGTGTCGCATGGCAATAGATAACTGTTACGTTGCATTTCCTTTCACTCTGGCTAACACTATATTACTATGTTATTATTACTATTGTTATTATATCCTCCCAAGGATAGGCAAAAAGTGGAATCTATGGGTGGTACAGTGGGATAAGCTCTCCCTGGAGGCACTGGCATTCATGTTGGAGAGTGGTTTGAAGCCCGGCTACTCTGCTTCCCATGTGGCTCCCTGCTGCCGTGCCTGGGAAAGCAGATGAAGATGGCCCAAGTACTTGAGCCCCAGCACCCATGTGGGAGACCGGGATGGAGTTAGGGGCTCCTGGCTTTGGCCTGGTATAGCCTTTCCCATTGCAGCCATTCAGAGAGTGAACTAGAGGATAAAGACCTCTCTCTTTCTCTCAAATAAATAAAAATAAACCTTAAAAAGAAAAGTGCATCTCTCCTTTGGTGCTTTGGCCCATTATTTTGAGATGGGCGTCAGTGCTCCTCTTATTTACAACAGAACTTTACGATCCTTTCATCCTATTTATTTTCCTTGTCATTTTCTTCCTTTCAAAAGAAATAGCAGGGGGCTGGCCCCGTGGCTTAGTAGGTTAAGCCTCTGCCTGCGATGCAGGCATCACACATGGTCGCTGGTTCGTGTCCCGGCTGCTCCACTTCTGATCCAGCTCTCTGCTATGGCCTGGGAAAGTAGTGGAGGATGGCCCAAGTCCTTGGGCCCCTGCACCCATGTGGGAGACCCGGAAGAAGCTCCTGGCTCCTGGCTTCAGATCAGCCCAGCTACAGCCATTGCGGCCATTTGGGGAGTGAAGCAGCAGATGGAAAAACCTCTCTTTCTCTCTGTCTCTCCCTCACTCTCTGTAACTCTGCCTCTCACATAAATAAATAAATCTTAAAAAAAAAAAAAACACCTGATGCCAAGGCGATTAAACTCTCTTTATATCTTTCAGTGTTTTTACCCTATCACAAAGAGTATTAGATTCTATTTTCCTCTGGCTTCTTCATGAGTTTGTTGGCTTTTTTTTTTTTTTTTTTTTTTTTTTTAGATAGAAGCAAAATCAAAGGTGTTCTAGGCGTTCACCCAGCAAGGGATCTGCTACACCTGAGGCAGACTGAGGGGGCGGGCCTTATTCCTCCCAGGTGAGCCTCAAACTCCAGGCGGGGCACCTGCTGGGGCTCGGCGTTGCCTTCTTCATAGCGTGGCCCCAGCTCCAGCACAAGGCGGCCCCCTGAGATCGTGCGCACTAAGACGGGAGGCGTGAAGAAGCACCCGGGTGCCCAGCATGGCACAGCCTCTGGTGAGGGAGCTGCTTGAACCACACCGGGGTGCGGGCAAAGGCCCTGCAGGAGGCAAGCTAACTGCAGGGGTCACACCGCTTGCCTGCGCTGCAGCTGGACAGGAACCCAGGCCTGTCCCGAGTGTGCTCGCTTCCAGGCCAGCCTGGATTGCAGACAGCTGTGTAGGCCCTGCTGCCCTCCTCCACCCACACCCCTGCCAAGGCTGCAGAGGAGGCGCCTGCCCAAAGATGGGGCGGCCTCCCTTTGGACCCCAAGAATGCTGAAGCAAGCAACCCCTCAGGCCCAGCCACCCCACGGCCTCTAGCTCCTGGCTTTGTGTCCCCCAGTAGGGCTCGGCTGCCTCCTGTCACCTCCCTGCTGGCCTCCCGCCTTCCAGGCACTTAACCCAATCTGCAAATTGGTCTCATTTGTTATCTGCGGCTCCCACTGGAAGCAGAGCCCCTGCACCTCAGCTGCTAGTGCAGGGCGGCAGGGAGAGAGCCTCCCTCGCCCTGGAGGGCAGAGATGTCTGTGCAGAGGCCCTGGGTCCACAGTGTCCGTCTTTGTCAGCCTCGGGTGTGCTTCCTGCCCCTGCCGGTGCTACCTGTTCCTGCCGGCCAACACCTGCTCCTCTCTCTGAGCCCAGCGCGGAGGTGTCCCTGGGGACATCGTCCCTGCGCCCACAGTAGGTGGCAAGCCAGGCCCCAGAACAAGGGGCCTTTGCCAGGCTAGGCAGGCGCCCCTGGGGACCCTTATCCGCCACGGGAGCACCTCAAGGCGCAGAGAGACAATCCAGAAAGGCCGTAGCGAGCAGCAGGCGGGCTCCCAGCCTGGCAGAGCGGCCGGGGGAGGGGACCAGCTGGTGGGCGACGCTGGTTTATCGACGCTGAGGACGCACAGAGCCCTGGGGAAATCAAGGTGAAAGGCTGCAGCCCCGCCTATCAATCAGCGGGGCCGGGACAGGCAGCTGTGCGGACGGGTCCCTGGACCAGGGCAATCAGGACACCGCCAGCTCTGTGAGGGCCGCCCCAGACCCAGGCATTGCGGGGGCCCGGCCGCCCGCCCGCCGCTGCTCCAGCACAGCCTTAATGGGGGAACACCCGCCACCGGCTTTCAAAAACACGGTCTCGGGACAGGCGCTGGGCACGGTGGTTGCGCCGCCTTTAGCAACCCCTGCATCCCATGGTGGAGAGTCTGGGTTCAAGTCCCAGCTCAGCTTCCTGCTAATGGAGCGCGCTGGGGAGGCAGCAGGTGGAGGCTCAGGGACTGGGGTCCCTCACCTGAGACCCACGTGGCATTCCTGGCTCCTGGCTTGCGGACTGTGCTCGGGCCTTTGCAGAGTGAACCAGCAGATGGGGAGTGCTCTCTCTGTGCCTCTCACATTAAAATCCTCTGCACTTGACATTGTGTGGGCAACCAGGTAGTGGGGGGGGGAGGTGATCAGTGGTCTTGGCCCAGAGGGCACACCTGAACACTGGCCGTGGGATCCTACCTGTCAGCTTCCCAGACCCAGCCAGTGCCTGACAGGGCAGCAGGAGAGCGGAGGCAGCCTAGGACCAGGGAGGGAACAGGCGGGTGGCTGGGAGCAGCGCTCTGGGAGGGAATCCACCCAGGAGCTCAGCAGCTAAAGAGGTCAAGTGAGTGACATGGGCAGGGGACAGGGTGGGAGAGCCCTGCCCCCAACCCCCCACCCCAGCTGCCGGCAGAGGGAGTGTCCTGGGCATCCCACCTGCTCCCCCCACCCCCCACCAGTGCTGAGGCCATCTGAGTAGAGTGAAGATGTCAGAGAAAACCCCAAATCGGATTGGGGCTCCTGCTCCCCCTTAATGAGGTTCATTATCAGCTGCTCTGATCCTGGTAAAACCCAGCAGGCAGGATTAGGGGCAGGCTCCCTAATCCGCTGTCTCCTCCCTGCTGAGCAGCCAGCCAAGGCCTGGCCCAGGAGGGGTGGCCGGGGGGGGGGGGTCCCAGAGTCCTGGTGCGGGTGGAGACTGCAGGAGCTGGGCACCCAGAGCTCCGTGCACAGTGCGGGAGGATACACCCTCCTACCTCCCCCCACCACCATGGCCGGGAGCTGTGTCCTGGGGAAACCCAGGGGTGGCTGAGCCCCATGCATCCTGTTCACACCTGGACATTGGGTGTCTAGAGTCGCAGGCTGAAGAACACACACTGAAGCTTGCCTTAACAAAAATAATTTATTCCACAGCCCTCCCAAGCGGTGGGGGGTGCAGTGGGAAGCAAGCGTGGGAACAGCACTGCCCTCCTTCCCCTCCCCAGCGGGAGGGGGAGCCCCGAGAGGGAAGCTGCTCCCACGCCGTCCTCAACCCCACAACCTCCACATCCAACGTGAGCATCGATTTGGGGACCAAAGTAAAAAGGCAAGACCCAGCTCAGGGGGGGAGACGAAGCCCAAGGGGGCCAAGCCAAACACATCTGCAGCCACCACCTTTCTCTGTGGCTTCCCAGAACCAAGGCACTGTCGACCCCAGCCTCCTCCTTGTCCTAGGCCAACTCGGCCAGGCAGGTCCCCACAAACCCCACCCGACACGCCCTGCGGCAGACCCCAGGGACCCAGACCCCCAGGAAGTCTGAGGGGCTGCCACAGAGGCCACTTCCTGTCCAGAAGGGCGCTGTGGAGTCTGACTCGAGCCCACCCGGCTGGGGGTGGGGGCACCCTCCTCTGGCTGCAGTACCTTGGAAACCCTGGCCTCAGTTGCCCAAGACCAAGCAAGAGAGATTGAAGCTTTGGTGGGAATGGGGTAGGACCTCAGATGAGCTGGGAAACAGGACGCAGGTGGAGAGGCGAGGGGCTGAGCCGCCCCAGACCACTGCCCGTGGGGGCCGGTGAGCCTGGACCCTGATCCATGGAACTCTCCTTCCCAGCAGCCCCAGGGGGGCCCATGGGGTAACTGGTTCTCGCGGACACCCCACCGTCCTGGGCTGGTGGGACGGGAGCGGTGAGGTGGTGGCTGCTGCTCCTGCCCCCTCGCACGCATGCGCAGTGGCTCAGGCTGCAGAGTGGCCCGCATGGCCCTTCAGGGCCCTTATCCTGGCCCGGAAGAAGGTGTACACGGCCAGCAGGCCCATAAAGGACAGGGAGTAGAGCCCCACGCAGAGGCTGGCATCCAGGTGGGAGAAGCCGCCGCCCAAGACCTGCAGCCATTGGCCTGGGGCCCGCCTGGCTCCCGCCCTGGGCTCCTCCTCCAGGATGCCGGCCAGCAGCTCAGCACCGCGACCCACACGCCTCAGCTCTGAAGGGCCCCGGGGCTGGTTGCCGGCCAGCAGCACAGCCCCCGTGTCTCTCCTGCTCAGGCGTCGCTGCCCCAGCACAGCCCCCTGCGGCTCTGGCTCGGGGTGACCCGCCTCGGGTCCCTGGGCTGCAGCACCAGGGACAGTGGCCCTGGGGGACTCCGCCTCCAGAGTGGCGTTGCCGGTCGTCAACTCCAGGGCGCCCACCACCAGCTTCGGGGCAGCCGCCACAGCCTGTGGCCCCCTCCGGGGGGCCCGCCCAGCTGGAGGGGGGTCCAGGGCGATGTTTCCAGGGGAGAAGTGGCCCTTGAGGAAGTTGAGAGTGGCACCCACGTCCCACACCGGCGTGCCCTGGAGTTCGTTGTGGCAGGCGGAGCAGAGTTCACGGGGCGGCCACTGCACCTTGGGGAACTGGGGGTCCTCGCTGGGGGCGCCTGAGAGGAAGCACACACAGGTCGGTTGGGGCAGGCTGCAGCCCGCCTCCTCCCCAGAATGGGCTGCAAGAGAACCAGGCACAGAGCTGGCCTGCCCCCGCGGGCACTGGGGGCACCTGCCCACTCGGCCCCTGGTGTGTTGGCCACTGTCCCCCTCTGCTGACGTGACCACCAACCTGAACCCCAGGGCCAGGGTCTCAGCGACCTGTCCTGCAGTCCTTGGTTGGTCTGAAAGTATCTTTTTAGATTATTTGAAAATTTCCAAATTTTCCGAAGTGGAAATACACTCCATTTCACTAGCTAAAGGGAAAATCATTTTAAGACAAGATTTCACTATGCATGGCACCCTCCTTCACCCACATTCAGCCTTTGGGTCAGGGGTCTCCCAGGAGTGGGGGAGGGGAAGGCCTGGGGGTCCTTGGCAGAATGGGGCAGTAGTCTGGCTACAGGCTGTTGGGACCCCAGGTGGGGTCAGTACGTGGAGCAGAGCACCACCAGGGAACACTCCCCTAGGAAGCCCCTCTCCCAAAGGTTCAGCCAGGAGACAGAAACCAGGGACCATGAAGCAGCCAGCCGCAGCAGGAGGGCGGCGTTGGGGGCGGGGGCAACAAGTAGATTCGGAGGCCGTGAGGCTCAGCCTGCACGCGCTAATTGCCCCTGTGATGGGCCAGGCCCCCTCCCCGCAGAGGGTGGGGGACGGCCTGCTCTGGGGCCCTTGGGGAGAGACCAAGGCTCCTGGTCCTCCAGCTGCAGCTGAGGGCAGCCGAGGTCACGAGGTCACGGGGCTGGAGGGTCAAGCGGAGCATTTGGTGGCTGGGCGGGGCGGGGCAGGCGGGAGATAGGCACGTGTCTTCCTTTCAAAGTCCACCAGGAGGCCCCGGGAGACCCCAGGCGCCAACACTGCCACCTGCTCCGTTCAGCTTCTTTCACTCGGGCTCCTCCCCCAAGCCTCCCACCCAGGGAGTGCTACAGTCACGGCCACGTGGACTCCTCTCCCCATAGACAGGCTGGCCTCCTGTCCACAGATGGCTCCCTCCTCGCCCTACAGGCCTGGAGTTCAATGCTTTTGCCTGTCTGTCCCATCCCACCCCTGTGAACCGGAAAGAAACTGCTGACAATGGAGGAAATGCGGGAGACAAGGCCTCCCTCAGAGGAACCAGGCCCTGACCTCTCCCAGCTGCCTACTGGAACACTCGACCCTTCCCAGCAAGTGGGAACCCGCAACTCTCTCCTCCTGTGAGTTTGTGTAAGGGGCCAACAGCCAGAGAACGGAACAGGGGAGGCAAGAGAGGGACCCAGCAGACCAGAGAGAGGGGTCCTGGTGCAGAGGAAAGAAAGGGCGATGGTTTGGGAAGACCAGGGTCTTCAGGGGTCCACGCCTTGGTTTCCTCATCCAGAAAATGGGTCTGATGCCACCACTGGGCTGCATCAGGGCTGGCAGAGCACAGGGGAGCTGAGCAGCACAGGGTGCGATCGAGACACTAAGCGCCCCTTGCTCACCTGGCCAAGGCCCCCAAGTGCCCCCCGCTTCCCCGCAGGGGACTCCGGCCCTTCCTTACCTGCGAGGCGGGCGTTGACCCTGTTGTGGCTGGACCAAAGCCAGAGGACGGCGTCGTTGGGGCTCCCCACCTTGTGCATGGAGGCAGCAGCCATCTGCTCAAAGTGGCCCGCGCACTCTCGGCAGCCAAAGAAGAAGCGGACGTAGCCCCGGATGGCCTGGAGGACCTCCTGGCCCTTGACTGCAGGGGGAGAGGACCTCATGTACAGGGGCCCACCCCTTGGGGGCGCTGTCAGCAATTTCCCTACCTGGGGTGGGGGTCACTGTAGAGGGACCTCATCTCCTCCCAGACTCCTGCACCCCAGGCCCCCCTCGCTTGTACTCAGAGCAATGCCCCAGCTCTCCAGCAGGATGCTTGGTGCTATAGCTGGAGGAGTTTGGGGCCACAGTACCCACGCCCAGCCCTAGCCTCGCCTGCACATCCTCACCCTGCCTCCACCTTCCCTGGTTGCTGGTCCCTAGCCCTCTGGGCAGGCCATGGCCAAGGCCTCTGTGCCTCTGTGCACGGCCCCCACCTTCCTGCTCTCACTGAAATCAGGCCCCTCCCCCAAGACACCACTGTCCCCCAAACACAGCCACAGGACTCCCTGCTCCCCAGGGGCTGCTGCTGGGGCTTCAGGCCCCAGTCCTTCTCAAGGCAGCCTTGCCCCTCCATCTCCCGGGACCTCAGCGCCCTCCGGGCTGTGGCTGGGTCAGTGCCCGCACCTGCTCACGCCTCGCCTCTCAGCTCCCCACCTGCCACCCACCCCGCACCTGGACCGGCAGCCCCCACCTCCCCTCCTGCTCAGGGTCACGTGCCTTCTCACCTCTGGGACTTCACTCCCGTGACTACGTCCTCCGTTTCCTGTATCACTACTTTCTCCCTTAACGTGCCATCCTCCCGAGCGGGGGAAGCGATTACAGTGAAGAACCACTCCCTTGCACCCAGACCCCAGGCCCATTTTCTCGTAGCCTGCCTCGGGCTCTCTCCAGCCCAATCTGACCGGGCCGCCATCTCCACCACTCCCCACAATAGCTCTCGCCCCACACCCTGCATCTTGTACTGCGTCCACACTGGCTGCCACCTGCATTCTGGAGCCCTCTCGAAATGGCAAGGGGGGCCCCTTTGCAGGCGCCTGCTCCTAGCGCCCTGTGGGTGCTGCGGGAAGGGGTGGGGGGACCCAGGCTTGGTCCTCACACTCTTCCCTGCTTCCCCCTGGGAGTCCAGCCGGTCCCGGGGCTGCTACCACCGTGCATTCTCATCTGATCTCGACTGGAAGTTGATCTCTCGATGCTGTGCTTCTCCTGGGATCCGTGCACACCAATGCTGGGCCGTCTGATGGGTGCCGACAGTGGGGATCCCACCCTCCCACTCCCTGGGACCGGCCCCCTGTGGATGTTCAGGCTGCTGGAGCCCACCCCGTCCTCCTGCCCATCCTCTCCCTGCAGTCTGGCATCATCAGGTCCCACCAGCTCTGCCTCCTCCTCCCCCACACACCCAGCCCAGCCCCCGACCCCAGCTTCCAGACCGGCTGCCCCACCCTCCACCCAGCATCCTTTCTAAGCCTTGATGGTTTCCGTATCCTGCCAAGGCCCAGGCCCAAACCCTCCCTCAGCAAGGCTGCAAGGTGCGGAACTCCCCATCCCCAAAGCCCCCTCCCCGCGGCCCCCTCCCCTGGACACAGGCACCGGTTCCCTGCACCTGCTGCCCGCGGCCTGTGTTACAGCCCGAGCTGTGGCCCCCAAGGTTCCCATGTTCAACCCCAGCACCTCAGTGTGGCCGTGCTGGGGGACAGGACCTTTGAGGAGGTGACTGGAAAGAACAGGGTCGTTAGGGTGGACCATAATCCAGTGTGACTGGTGGTCTTCTAAATGAACTGTGGGCACAGACAGGCAGAGGGGAGACACAGGGAAGACACTGCTGTCGGTGGCCCAGGAGAGGCCTCTGAGGCCCCAGCACCCCGGAGGCACCTTGACCTTGGACTCCCAGCCTCCAGAGGGTGTGTAAGCCCCTTGGCCGTGGGTGCCAGGACAGCCCAGGAGGCTCTTCCTCCCTCCCCACAACCTCAGCACCAGCTCCTCCCCAGAGAAGCCTCCCCGGGCTCTCTCCTGCCCCGGGAGAGATGGAGATGCCCCAGGAACCCTGGCAGACAGACAGACGGATGCTGGCTCCCCACACAGCTGTGCCTCTGTCCAGGATGCCCCTCTTCCTCAGCGGAAGCCCCTGTTCACCCCTCACCTCCCAACCCCCTGCCCTCTGTGCTCCGCACTCCCCGCCCCATGGGTCTCACCCCGGCACCTCGGGGCACGCTCTGTGCACCTGCCTCACCCTTCACAGTCCAGTGCGGGCAGGGACAGCCTCTTTCCCACTGTGGCCTCCAGGCTGGGCCAGGGCCCCAGATAAACCCGCTTCCTAGGTGGATGCTGTCCTTCCAGTCAGTAAAGTAGCGCGTGTGGGGCCGGTGCTGCAATGCACCTGTTACCCCGCTGCCTGCAAAACCAGCATCCCAGACAGGAGCACCGGTCCCGGCCCCGGGTGCTCCGCTTCCAATCCAGCTCCCTGCTGATGAGTCAGAGAAGGCAGTGGAAGATGGCCCAAGTGCCTGGGCCCTGCACCCACGAGGGAGACCCAGATGGCGTTCCAGGCTCCTGGCTTCAGCCTGGCTTATCCCCTGCTGTTGTGGTCACTTGGGGGAATGAACCAGAAGATACAACACCTCTTCTCTCTCTGCCACTCTGCCTTTCAAACAATTAAAATAAATCTTTTTATAAAAAAGACACCGCAGATGTGTGACGGCCTAGGTCCGAGAGCACAGGTGCAGTTTGTGGGGAGCAGGGCGGAGGGGAGACGCCTACCCCAGCGTCCCCTGGAAACTTACTCTCCAATGGGTAGCAGCTAACTGTGAAACAATTTTTTCCTTCAAGAGTACAAAAAATGGAATCACAATTTCTTTTTCACAAAGACTGAAAACAAAGCAAGCTGTAAGCCTGGGGGAAAGCCAGGGAGAGGGCTCCGAGTGTGAGGCCCCCCCCTGCCCAGCAAGAGGCAGCCCAGGCCCGGGTGAGTCCTCCCAGCCCTCCCCTCCAGCGACGGGTTCCAGGCTGCCCCTGTGTGGCCGGCTGCCCCTGCAGAGACTCACTGGCATCCACGACTGTGTCTGCCCTGTCCTCTAAGCACAGACTGGTGGCAGGGGCCGGGGCTGGGGACCGCAGGACCGGACTCACCTGCCTCTTGGGGGTGGTTTGCACTTCGCCGGCTGGCCTGCACGGTCAGGAAGTGGAAGAGGACCCACAGGGAGCAGGGGAAGCCCCGGAAATGTGGCTCGCTGCCCTGGCAGCCAATCCAGTTCACCTTCTTGGCCAGGACAGCATCCTGAGGGACACACGGGGGAGCGGGGCTGAGTGGGGCTGTGGCCGGGCAGGAGCACGGGAGAGGTGGCGGTGGAGACGCACGGGCCAGCACACACAGCCCCGAGACACACAGGGGCCCTCTCTCCATCAGCACCACCCAGCAAGGAGCAGCAGCTCTGGAAACCTGCCACTCAGACCAAGCAGCCCCCCACTCCAGCCGCAACAGGGCGCCCCCACCCCCCGCCCAGTCCCTTCAGGCTTCTGCATCCCACACGCCCACGAGGTTCTGTGTCTACCGGCTGCGGCACCCGCTTCTGCAACCAGCAGTGCAAGGGGTCCACAAAGGTGACCCCGGAGAGGACCACGCTGGGGAGTGCAGCACGTGCAGAGGTTAAAACTCTGTGCGCTGCACCAGCTTCTGAGCCCAGCCCGGCCGCATGCCCGGCTGGGTGAGCTCAGACAACCTCACTCGCGAAGTAGGGGCAACGCCACCTCCCACTACTGTTAGACAGAATGAGGGATGGGTGCAGACAACTCAGTAGGTGCATCCATCATTAAAGGGAGGATCCAAATGCAAATTAGAGGGGGGGGGGCTCAGAGATTAACCCCTTGCTTCCCATAACAATCAAGGAAGGGGAAATTTTCATGGCCTCGCACACTCACCTCCTTCCTGCTGTCCAGGGCAGTTTTTAAAAAACTGTAGGGGATTTTCTTTTTCTGCTGTCTCTTGAGCCAGTCGTTTACGGAGTACAGGAAGTTCTGCACCAAGGGCCGGCCAGGGAAGTACTGCAGGGAGCGACAAGCACGAGTTGAGAGGGAAAAGCAATTCCCCAGAGTCCCAGAGTCCCGTGCACAAGCAGGCCAACGTGGGCTTTCTGGAATGTTCCCCAAGCCATCAGGAAAACATTCTGCCTAAGGCACAAGTGTGGGCTCCTCACTGCCCGTGCTAATGGGGTACCCAGTGAGGTGGGGGGGGAGGGGCGACCCTGCAGGCCTCCCCACCCCCACGCTCAGGGCCAGCCCTGGGAAGAGGCTGGACACTTGTCCCGCTCCCCCGGCTGCCGGGAACCCTGGGTCACGGGCCCTCTGCTGACCCACCAGCTGGGCCAGGCCGGCCAAAGACCTCTGCTTTGTATTTCACGGGCTGCTGGGGGGTGGGGTGGGTAAGCCTGTCCAAGGGCCTTACAGGCAAGATCCAAATCTTGATGCTAACTCCCAGGAGCCTCTGGGGAGAATGAAAAGCTACCCTGACAATAAGTCGACTCAAATCTGATTAGTATCCGCACTTAAAAACCACAGGGGCTCCTGGGAGGGGATAAATAGGTGTGTGGGCGTGCGTGCACACTCATGCACACACACACACATACATACACACCGGAGGCGGGGGGGGGGCGGGCAGGCGAGAGACAGCAGGTCAGATAAGCCCACCAGGAGGCAGGGGAGGGGACCAGACCCTGAGAAGCCCACAGAGGAAAGAAGCAAAGGAAACCGAGCGAGACCAGGGTTCTGGGGAAAGCACACCTGCGGGCAGACTAAGGGCTCCCAAACAGGCCCTTAAGGAGCCCCACCAAATTCAGGGGGCCCCCCGCCCGGGCCGGGCTGTGGCTGTCCACACCGTGCCAGCTCGCCTTCCGTGGAAGGCAGCCCTGCTTCCGGGCCTGCCTGGGAAGGGGCAAGACCAACGGAGCCGTGCTGGAAAAGCCTGGTGACCACACGCCCCCCAGTGGCCAGCGCCTGCCAGGCACTCATACCAGGGCGTGCAGGCTGCGGCAGGGCTGGGTGCCCGAGAGCTGACGGTGGCAGCCCCGGCTGGAGGCAGGGTGAGCGCTCCCCCTCAGCTCTGACGCTCACGGGGCAGACGGGACGTGGGTGTGAACCCCAGCTGGGCCGCCCAGGCGCTGGCCCGAGGACACTGGGCCCGATGTGTTATGCTCTGGGCCTTCATTTTCTCATCAATGGAATGGAGACGGCGCCAGGGCCCGCGCCATGGAGGTGGGGAGGCAAACCAGGCCTAGGTGCAGAGAGCACTGGGCAGGGCCAGCCTGTCACAGCTCAGGGGACGGGGCTGCTGCGGCGACGATCCTGGGGCAAGAAGCTACCCACGGGGAGGGCCAGGGTCCCTCTGCTCCCATTGTGGGGTGTCCCTGGCCTCCCTGAGGGCTTCGGCTCCTGGCAGGGTGGACACCTTCACCCCAAACTCACTTCGAGCACCTGCTGAGGGTGCAGGCTCAGCAGGGACCACCGGGAGCGTGCACCCAGCCCAAGTGTTTTCTGGATCTCACCCTTTCCCCTCACGCTTGCTGAACGCAGCTCTGCCCAGGGCCAAGGCAAAAGCCAGCGTTGATTACAAGTGAAAGCCACGAGGGGCACCCACACAACCCTGTCCCTGGGATGAGGGACTGTGCTGGGGCTGGCGGGGCGCTCCCCATCTCCGGGGGTGCGTGGGCGCCTTCCCGGGACCGTCCCCAGGGCCAGCACCAGGGTGCGCTCTAGACTCCCCGCCTTTGTGGCTGCAGCTGCTTGCCCAGGCCCGGGAAGGGCTCTGATCCTGGAATGGGGGGGTGGGCCTGGTGGACAGACCCTAGGCTGTACGGCCTCTCACAGGGCCCCCTCTGTGTAACCACACGGGCCTCCAATCCGTCAAGTGGGCCGGGGGGGGGGGGGGCAGCAGGGAAGAGGGAGCGGCTGTAGGAAGTTGCTGGGAGAGTCACAAATCACGCCCGCCCGGGGCAGCTGGGCGACTGCAGAGCGGGGGTGCAGGGCGGAGGGTGGCTGAGTCAGCACTTGTCCAGGAAGGGGACTGGAGCCACATCTGACTCAGCAGCACGCAGCCCGGGCAGGAGTTAGAAGTAGGGCAGCCCGGGCACGGGATCTGGAACCGGATGGAGGAGGCAGCGGCAGCCCCAGGTCCCCTGTCAGAGGGGGAGTGTGGCAGACAAGGAGCGCAGGCGCTGCCACCCTGGACCCTGGCTACCTACTGCAAATCGCTACAGCTCCCCGGGCCCTGCAGTGGGGCTGCAGAGAGGGCGAGAGGCGGCCTCAGGAGGGAGGGGCCACCCTCGGGCTCAGTCAGGGGGCGGGTCCCAGCAGGCAGGTAGGACAGCCACTGGCTCAGCTGGGACTTCCAGCGCTGGGTATCTGACTCTGTCCCACCCACCCCCGCCCGGGGCTGGCTGAGCCTGGCGGGCAGCAGCCTCGGGTGGACTGGGATGGCCGGGAGCTCTGGGGAGGAGGGTCTGGCCTGGCGCCCGCCTGCAGGTGCACACACACGACCGCGCTCACCTTTGCCAACACTGCCACGAACTTTTTCAAGGCCACCAGGCGCTGCCCCTCCAGGAGCGAGAACCTGCCCACTTCTACCCGCAGGATGTAGTGCAGTGCGGATTCCAGGTCAGCCATGTAGACCTTGGAGCTGAGGAACCCGAGGAAGACGGCGAGAAAGGTGGGCGTTAGCCGTGGGTGGGGGCTGGGGACTACAGGGGGAGAAGAGGGGTCCCACCAGCCAGCACTTAGCTCTGCCAGGGATTTGCTGTGTGACCCTGGGTAAATGACTCAGCCTCTCTGAGCCCCTGATTCGTCATCTATACAAGGATTAATACTACACTGCCCACAGGCAGGCTGCTGAGAGGACTAAATAAAACCTGCCACTCCTGGAAGACAGGAGCCGCGAGGCTCAGGTCCGTGCACCCCGGCTCTGCATCCTGCCCTGGGCCAGCCCCTCCCACCACTCCTTGGGGGAGGGTTGCGGGTGCACCACGGTGCCCCAAAAGCCAGAGCGAGGGATTAGCTGGGAACTGGGGGTGCGACGGGAGGGGAAGCGGGGTGTGTCTGTCTGTCAGGGCCAACGTGCTCTCTGCTGCCGGACTCAGAGCAAAGTCCCGCGCCCCTGCCCCTCCCCGGGCCACAGCTGACCACTCCACCCCCTGTGGGGCCTCTGGAAGTGGCCACAGGGCACACAGAGGTGCCCAGCACAGAGCTCGGCGGCTCGTAAAGCCACTCCGAGCGTCGGCTTCCCAGGGCAGCTGGAAGGAGCTGGACGAGGATCCTAGCGAGCCCCCCCACGCCCCCCACCCCCGCCCCGCAGGCGCTCTGCTCGCCCCTTGATTTACTGAGAACGCGCTCCACGGGCACGCGCGTGCCACCCTGCTGCCGGGACACAAAGGGCCTCCTTCCCCTGATGCGCTCACGCAGCGCCCCCTGGAGGCCGCTTCCCGACCCTGCACTGGGCACCCGGGCCCAGGCTCGGCAGGCAGGCGGCTGGGTGCTGGGACCCCGGCGAGAGGCTCGCTCCCCACCAGCCAGGCAGGGGATCTGCCACAGGGCAGGGCCGAGGAGCCTCGGGGAGAAGGGGGTACGGGCCACGCACAGTGTTCCCGTGAGCCAGCTGTCTTCCCGGATGCTGTAGGCCCCCCATAGCAGGTGCTGCCTGTGTCATTTCTGGGTTCAGTGTCTAGCGCCATCGGGCTGGGGGAGGGAGGAGGGACCCAGGCACGCCCTTACCGATCTGCAGATTTCCACACCGTGGGCGCTATCCTGTGAGCCGTGGTCGGCGCCACCGTGGAGCGCGAGGCCTCCCTGGTGAGCCCAGACAGTCTCTGCAGGTAGGCCGTGTAGAACGCCCGGGTCTCCTTGAGCCTGGGAGAGAGGAGAGCCGCGGAGGGGAGGCGGTGAGGCCGCAGGAACGGGGCTCCGGGGCGCCCACGGCAGCAGAGGGAGCAAGGCGGCTCCCCTGACACTGCCCGCTCCGTCTCCCCTGCGACATCAACATCAAGGCCCCCAGGGGCTGCATGAGCCATGGAAGACCCCTTGGCCTCCAGCCCCACGCTGAACTTCCACTGGGAAAAGCTGGGCCCAGGAACGTCTCAGTCTGGGTCCTCTGGTGCCAGGTGCTGGGTACACAGCAGCTGCAAGGGCAGGCGGCCCCCGTGGGGACAAGGTCAGCCCTGCACGTGCCCAGATGGTGGCAGGGCCGGGAGTGTGGGTGCGGGTGTGTGGGGGTGGGGTGGGGGGTGGGAAGCCGCCTGCTCACTGCAGGTACTAGGAGGTGAGAGGACGCCTGCCCCCTCCCCCAAGCCATAGGAGTCGGGTTTGTGACTTTTAACAACACAGCGTAACTAGCAACCCTGCTGCAGCCCGCCTGCTCTCGCTCTCTCTGCCGGTGGAGAGGGGCCCCGGATGGCCAGAAACGCTTCCGGGCACAAACTGCCTGCCACACACAGGCTCAGAGCCACCAGGCGGGAGGGGCGTGGGCCCAGCAGCGGTGGTGGCAGTGGCAGTGGCAGTGACGGTGACAGGCTGGCCCAGGGGAGCTGGCATCGGCGAGCACTGCTTTCCATTCCGCTGTCCTGGCCCAGTGTTTGCTGACGAGCAGATGGCTGGGGAGCGGCATCGTCACAACCAATTTTCCCCTCCACCAGCTCCCGGCGAGGAGGGGACAATGCCTCTCCCCCCCACCCCGCCCCAGCCCCGCCCTGTGCCCCGGTGGCCAGCGCCGCCCCCTGGCCTCTCGGAGGGACCTGCCTGGGGCCGGGCCCCGAGGAGCGCTCCCTGGGCACTTGGGCAAGCCTGGCTCTCCCTGGCTCCCCGGCTCCTGAGACATCAATCATGTGCCCAGGGAGGGCACCCAGGCACCATCTGGCGCCATTTAACGGGCCATTCGGCAGCGGGAGCCTGACAGAGGGCTGAGCCGGCCTGATTGTCTTCTCTGGGCATGCTGGAACAGCCTATTGTCTGGCTCCTAATGAACTTTTCTGCAATTAGGAAGCCAAAGGGAGGCAGAGTCAGGCGGAGCTGAGCCCTTGCCAGGCCCGCAACCTGCCCGCGGAGGGGGGGCAGTGCCAGTCCTCAGAAGACCCTCCCCGGAGAAGGGGCGTGTCTCCCAGGGCGGGCAGGGGGAGGAGGCACTCACACAGGCACGCGGGAGACAGAGCCGTTCCGAGACAGCAGGTAGCAAGACGGGAAGTCGGTGACACCGAACCTGCTCACCACGTCACTCTCGGTGTTCAGGACCCGGCGCACCGCCATGCCTTGGTGCTGGGACAGGTCCAGGGTCACCTGGGAAGACAGGAGACTGTCACACCACTGGGTGAGGGAGCCATAGCGGAGCCCCAACTCAGCGCCCTGGGCAGGCACCAGGGTGGCAGCTGTACTCGTCCCAGCTCTAAGCCTTTCTTACTGTTTTTTTTTTTTTAAAGGATTTATTTACTTATTTGAAAGAATTAGAGAGAGAGAGAGAGACAGAGACCGAGACCTTCCATCTGCTGGTTAACTCTTCAAATGGCCTCAAGCCCGAAGCTGGGCCAGGACGAAGAGAAGTTTTGTCCAGATCCCTGGGTGCAGAGGCCCAAGCACTTGGGCCATCTTCCATTGCTTTCCTGGGTGTATTAGCAGGGAGCTGGATAGGAAGTAGAGCAGCCGGGTCCTGAACCGGTGCCCATGTGGGATGGTGGCGTCCCAGGAGGCAGCTCTACCCACTACACCACAACTCTACCCGCCAGCCCCAAGTCTAAGCCTTTCACAGAGGAGACCGATGGATGGATGAGGGACTCACAGCACCAGCCACATCTGGGCAATCAGTGCCAAACACTGCCCCAGTCAGGGCCTCGGAGCTGGGAGACCGTGCGCCTGGCCTCACCAGGCCCAACCGGATGCAATTCTCTTTCCTATGCAAGCAGTCTGGAAGAGCTAAAACTGTGGGTTCACGTCTCTGTATATATGGCTAATCAGAAAAAATATACTTATCACACGTGCTGATCCTATCTTTAGAAAGAAGAGAAATTCCGTGTCACATCCTGTATGCAGATGATCTCACGGACCCCTCACACTAGGACGGGCCGAGCCGTGTGCCACCTGCATCTGTATCCTGGCTCCGTGGGGCCACGCCTCTCCATGACTCGGTCTCCATACTTGCCCAATTAATGCCACCCACAGAGGGCTGTTGCAAGAACAGAATAGGTTAATTCTATAAAAAATGCTTGTACCAAGGCTTAGCACGTAGTAGGGTGGTGCGGTGGCTAAAGCTGCCACTTGGGCCACCCGTGTTCCACATTACAGTGCCAGGTTCAAGTCCTGGCTGCTCCACGTTTCGGATCCAGTCTCCTGCAAATGCACCTGGGAGGCAGTGGCCGACGGCCCAAGTCCTTGGACTCTTGCCACTCACATGGGAGACCTGGATGGAGTTCCTGGGCTTAGCCCTGGCTGTTCCAGGCACTTGGGGGACGAGCCAGTGGATGGAAGAGGTCACTCTTTTTCTGTATGTGTGTCACTCTGCCTTTCAAATAAATAAATCTTTTTTTTTTTTTAAAAAGCTCTTATTTTATAGTTGAAGAACCTGAGGCTCAGAAGTAAAATCCTGTCTCCTGGACCCAAGGCCGGCGCGTGCCACAGGCGGGTCGGACTCCAGAGCCTGGGCTCTTGGCCACTCTGCTGTCCGCCTCTCACACTGACCCTGCTAAGCATGATGCATCGACACTGGGCCCTGGCCTTGGTCCCCTGGGGCCCACACCCTTGTCCAATCCACGTCCATTCTTGCCGCAGAGCCTCCTGCCCGGGCACCATGGGCTGTGCTGAATGAGGTTTTTCAGCAGGAAAACCACCCAGGGCCACCCTCGGGGCTCCACTGCATCCCCACACCTGTGTCTTCGCCTTGCACCACCACCTTGGGGTGTCCCACCTCTGCAGAGCCCTGTGCCTCAGGCAAGGGGCCGGGTCCTTTTAAAGCACCTGCTACCTGCTTAGTACTGTGAAGAAAGGTTACTGTTTCTACTTTACAGACAGGGAAATGAGGCTCAACAAAGTTGAGCAGCTTGATGGAGGACAGACCCCACAGGTGCCTCACCCGGCCAGGGACCCCGACTTCCTCATGAGGGGCTGGGTCAGCTCCGATGCCCCCTTCCTCTCCAAATAGTTAATCCCGTTCTGTGGGGTGGGACGGGAAGGCGACAACACGGGCTTGGAAGCCAGCCAGACTGGGTTCAAAGCCCTGTGTTAACAAGTTACTAGAGGTGCGGTGTTGTTACGGGACCATCTTCCTGAGTGGTGATTAGCAACAATGTGTATGGACGGCGCAGTGCATGCTCCACCAACAGCGGGTGTGGGGTGTGGCTTCCCAGGAAAGGGACTACCCTGAAGGTCTTCAATGGAAACATCCAGTCTCTACACTTCCCCGCTTCTCCCAGCAGGGGTCAGGCCAGTGCCAGTAAGAAGTGGCCGAGGCGGAGCCGTGACATTAGCAGGAAAGCCTTCTGGACACAGCTCTCCCAGAGCCATCCAGCTCACCTCTCGACCCAGGTAGGAGCCTTCCTTCTCGAAGATCAGGGCCAGATACTCCTTGTCGCTTCTTGCAAAAAAGCCATCGATCTCCTTCATCCTGCAAGACACAATCCTGGCGGTCACTCTCCCCAGCCAGCAACGCGACAGAGTGGGCACAGCCTCCCGGCTCCCGCTGCTCCCTCCACCAGCACCAGGTAGGGGCACAGCAACCTTTGGTCTCCAAGGACGCTGCCGGTACCTCACCCTGTTCCTCAGCTGACCCGCTGTCTGTGTTGTGTTTTAGGTATTTTTTTCCTGTCTCTTTTAAAGGAGTCCGGAGTGAGCAGGAGGCGGGGCCGGAGAGGGACGCTTGGAGACCGGGTGTCTCCCCCTTCTGGGCAAGGCCCGGGCTTAGCACATGTGGTCTTTATTGGTCCCCTGGGAGACTGTGATTAGAACCCATCAGAGATGAGTTCAAGTGTGCAGAGGCGCCAGCTGGAGGCCTGCCTCTCCCGCTCAGGCCTGGGAAAGGCGCCGAGGAACCAGGAGGAACCAGGAGGCCCGGGACTGGCCATCTGGGAGCTCAGCCAGCCTCGCTTTAGGGACCCCCGAGGCCCAGGTGCAAATAAATAGAAAGGCAAGTTTTAATGTCTCGGCAAATCAGAGGATTAATCTCTAATTAACCTATATATTGTTTTAAAAATTTTCTGGAGCCGGTGCTCTGGCGTAGCGGGTTAAGCTGCTGTCAGCAGTGGCGGCATCCCATAGGGGCACTGGTTCGAGTCCTGGCTGCTCCTCTTCCCATCCAGTGCCCTGCTCATGCTGGGAAATCAGTGGAAGATGGCCCAAGTCCTTGGACCCTCCCTTGCACTCACGTGGGAGCCCCGGATGAAACTCCTGGCTCCTGGCTTCAGCCAGCTCCAGCCGCAGCCATTGTGGCCATTTGGGGAGTGAACCAGCGGATGGAAGACCTCTTTCTCTGTCTCTCCCTCTCTCTCTATAATTCTGACTTTCAGATAAACAAATAAATAAATAAACCTCAAAGTTCCAACAGAAAATAACGTGGAAGCGATTTGCTTCCTTCCTTGGCTACAGCCAGCCCACCGTCACACACGCTTCAGGGGCCAGCAGGAGAGTGCGCGGCAGAAGGGAGACTGTACCTCCTTTCTCCCTCAGCCTGGGACCCCGCTTCCCTCTGCAGGACCTGGTGACACGGCAGCAGCCACCTCCGAACAGGTGCAACACGGGCGGATGCTGGAGCCCAGGCAAGTGACAGCGCACTTGGAGGTGCTGGGCGGGGTGGGGGCGGGCGGGGGCCTGAGTGTACAGGTGGCAGCCCCTCAGATCACTTTCCCACACCTGCCTGGGGTGGGGGGGCTTCTCAGCTCCTGAGACCTTCACTGAGTTCTAGGCAGGGCTCCTTTGAGGAGTCCCTGCAGGACATGGACTTGATTTTTCCCAGAAGTGTCCCTGGAGCCGGGCAACAGCGCGTCCTGAGTTCTCCTCCAGACGTGGAGGACCTGGTGTTTTTCATCCGTCTCCCTCTCTGGGGGACCTTGGGCAAAACACCATTTACCTCACTGTCCTATTTTCCCAGGCAAGGGGCATGGGGAAGCTGGCCTGGCTGGGGCACATAGGACGTGGCCAGTGCACCGGCTGCTGGACAGCACAGGGAGCTGAGGGCCCCGCCTCCACCAGCACAATTCAGGAAACGACCCAGACAGGGTCCTGCCCTTTCCCTCTCAACCATAGCATCCTCCTTTTCTCCTCCCCGGGCCCGTTCTGACCATCAGTGGCCTTCCTGGGTCAGAGGGCGTGAACTCTCGCTGTAGCCCCAAACACCCCTGAGGTGGGGGCTGCAGCAGGTGGGACATGAACCTGAACCTGCTCGGCCTTCCCGCCTGGCTGCACAGGGCCTTGCACCTACCAGCCAGCTCCAGGAGCAGAAGGCCCCTGGGCCAGGACCTGTAGCCAGAGGGAGCCTGGCACCAGCCTCATTCGCTCCCAAAGCCCTGGGCCCTGCCGCAAAGGCAGCAGGAAGAATTGACACACGTTCCCCACCCTGGGGTGCCAACCACCCCTCAGCCCAGGCCTGGGACCCTGGCCCATAGTGCACTAAGCCCGCCCCAGCCCAGAATACCTGGCAGGCTCCAAGGGAGGGCAGGCCGTGGGCCACGTGTCACGGTGGGTCTCCAGGGCGTCGATGAGCCTCTCCCGCAGCGTCGGCACGTCGGCCCCGGCCACTGGGAAGGCAAAACGGGCGCAGGGGGTGTCGGGAGACGACCCAGCGCTCAGCCTCGCGCCAGTCCCTCCGCGTCACCTTAGGGGGCTGTGTCCGTTCTGGGCAGGAGGGCTGTTCTGGGAACACAGCGCCCCCACCCCTCACCCTGACACCTGCAAAGCTTTTCAGAGGAGATAAGGCAGGCTGGCCCTCACCCACACCCGTGTGGACCCTGCTGGCGCCAGGGCTCCTTTCCACCGCCACCCTGCCCAACCCCGCAGAAACCCTAGTGGGAAAGGGAGACAGGTCCAACAGGACGAGCAGAGCCCAGACACCCACCTGGCAGCGTGGTTCCTGAGCCATCCTTGGAAAACGCCTTGAAGAACTGCAGGCAGACACATGGAGTCAGTGGAGGGGAGAGACGTGGATGCGGTCACCACCACGAAACAGCGCGCGGCTTCTTCACCTGACACTTGGCAACAGGGGCCCAGACCCGGACCCCCTGCCTACTGTCCTCACATCCAGTGCCTCCTGACGGCTGTGGACCCCTCCCCCACCAGAACCTGCAGCAGCCGCCCCCAGGCACTACTGGACGCGGACTTTTATTATAAAGCGCCAGTGTGTGGTGCGTGGCTGCTGAGAGACACGTGCTATACACGGGAACAAAGACCACTGCTGCTGACACATCCCGCGGGAAACGTCAGCTTCCTGCCTGCCTCTTTCCACGTCTTGGAAAAATGGGCTTCGATTCCCGTGTCTCCGTTCCCAGCAACTCCCCCCCTGCCTGGCAAAGCAGATGCACTCCACAAGGGAGTTGTCTCCAGCCACGCCCCCTCCAGGGCTGAGCTGTGGGGGGAAGCAAGCCTGCTTCTGGGCCCAATTTGACCCATCGCTTTTGTCCTCTCTGGCCATGTACACAACACCCCGGGCCTAGTCTGTCACCTCCTTGGGGTGAGAGGATGGACGGACCAGAGGACAGGGCCTTGCACTTTGGGTTTCCGCCTGGGCTGCCGCTGCCTGAGCTCTCCTGGCTCAGGGGGAGCTGGCTGGGTAGAGGCTGAGGCTGGGAGTGGCCCCGCACTGCAGGGCTATTTTGCTACCTGGGGCTTCCCCTCCACAGCATGGCGATTTGCCTCCTCCCACGTGCGTGGCTGAGAGTGAGCCCTGAGGTCTGGCAGACCTGCGCCTAGCTCTGCTATACTCGTGCTGTGTGACCTGAGGCTGCCCATCAACCTCTCTGAGCCCTAATGTTCTCCTCTTGAAGATGAGGATGACGCCTGCTGTGAAGACTGCTGGGAGGATTCCCTCCCTGCCTCTGAGGGTTTAGCAAAGGACCCGGTGTGTGCAGCAATCGGAAGATGCTGACCGCCTCATTGCCACCGCCCTCTTCAGAACTGGAACCTCACACAGAGCCTCTCCATCAGCCACCAGCTCACCCACAGCCGAGCTGGTGCCAGCATCTAAAAGGGGCTGGACATCTGGCATGGCGGTCAGGGCGCTCTGGGGATGCCCGCACCCCTGTGGGTGTGTGGGTTTGAGTTCCAGCTCTGCTCCTAACTCCAGCTTCCTGCTAGCGTGCGCCCTGGGAGGCAGCAGGTGGTCGCTCGAGCGGATGGGTCCCGGCCACTCACAGGGGAGACCCAGACTGAATTCCCAGCCGCTGGCTGTGGTAGGCATCTGGGGAATGAACTCGTGGATGGGAGAGCTGTGTGTGTGTGCGTGCGTGTGTGTGTGTGTGTCTTTGAAATAAACAAATTTTAAAAACATGTTTAAAGAAACTGGCATTACCTGCCCCGGAAGGCACCTCCCTGGACCCCAGTTGAGCTGCCACGGGAGCTTGGAGTTGCACCAGGAGCCCACGGCGGGGGTGGGGGGGCACAGGAACTCCCACTTCCCCGCCGTGCCCATCTACCGTCTACAACCCTCACCAGCTGAGCCCCGCCTCCCAGGAACTTTACCCTACCCAGCAATCGCCGCCATCACTTCCCCCTTCCTACAAACAGGCTCTAGCCCCCCCCCCCCCGCCCCGCCTCTCCATCGGAAGAAAAAGGGCAGAAGGGAAGGAGGAGGAGAACAAAGACGGGCCTCACCCCCCTCCAGCTGTGCCACTTCCCTTCCGTCCCACCCGCCCCACTCATCTGCTCCCAGCACCCTGGCCCCAGCTCCCGCCCCACAGGCTGAACCCGTCCCCAGAACCCTGCCTGGTCCGCCTGCCCGAGGCTGTTCCTGCCCGCTGCCCCTCCAAGGCCAGCCGTTAGTGGCCTGTTTCCTCGTGCGGAGCTCTCCTCCACGTCACCACCCTCCCCTGGCTGACAGCGAGCAGCCCTCTGGGCCACCCCTGCCTACATCCTGGCCTCACCCTCGATTTCTCCCGCGCCCACTGTCCTGGCCACGTCCGCCCAAGGCTCTCCTGCAGCCACACCTCGGACGGTGACCCTCTTCTGCTCTAAAAATCCTTGAAGGCACCGTCGCCAAGGAGGAGCCCAAGCTGCGGCGTGTCGCCACCGGTGCGTGAACCAAGGGACCAAGGACAACCCTGTGGATGCCCCTTTGCCACAGCTGCCTGCTTTGTTCAGATGATTCGCACCCAGAACCCTCCACACCCTGGTTCATCCCGGCCGCCTCCACCCAGGTGTCAGGGCGCACCGCCCCGCCACCCCACATGCGAGACTGACTCACCCTCCCTAGCCCGCTTCTCCACCTGTGCCGCCTCCCGCCCCCACAGCCCCCTCATGGGAGGGGGGGCGGAGGTTCTGTGACTCTGACCTTTAGTGATACAACAGCCCTCACCTTCCCCACCTCCTGCCTTGCGCAGGACCTGGACGGCTGCGTCCGCCCCTAGAGGTGCTCCCTTCAGGTGCCCTGAGATTCTTTTTTTTTTTTCTTTTTTTTTAACAGGCAGAGTGGATAGTGAGAGAGAGAGACAGAGAGAAAGGTCTTTCTTTTTTGCCGTTGGTTCACCCTCCAATGGCCACCGCGGCCGGCGCACCGCGCTGATCCGATTGCAGGAGCAGGTGCTTCTCCTGGTCTCCCATGGGGTGCAGGGCCCAAGCACTTGGGCCATCCTCCACTGCACTCCCTGGCCACAGCAGAAAGCTGGCCTGGAAGAGGGGCAACCGGGACAGAATCCGGCGCCCTGACCGGGACTAGAACTCGGTGTGACGGCGCCGCTAGGCGGAGGATTAGCCTAGTGAGCCGCGGCGCCAGCCTCCCTGAGATTCTAACTCACAGCTTCTGTCCTGTCTTGCTCCTCCTCCCATCTCTCCACTGCCCCCAAATGAGGTCGGAACTCACTGCATTTGAGGCCTGCTGGGATCCGAGCCCCAGATTACCTTTCCACTGCCCCGCTACTGCCCACGCTGCAGACACAGGGCGCTTCAGGCTGAACTGTGCAAGCGGCTGCCGGCCCCTTCCCCACCCGGAGGCGCAGGTGGTGGTGGGGGTCTGACCCTGCAGGACTCAACAGACATCCGCCAGCTGGCTGGGGAATCTCTGTCTTTGATCATCCTGGGCGCTCAGGGGGAAATCTAGTCAGGGCGCGTTTCTGCCCTCTTCTTAAAACACATCCTGAGAAAGCCCGCGGTGGAGGCGGGCGCCGGCCCAAGAGGAAGCACGGCTTCTGAGCCTGCAGGAGCGAGCCTTCTCACTGTGGGAGCAGTCGGCGCCGGGCCCTCTCCTCTCACGCCTTACTCCTGGAAGCCCTCCAGCCTCTGCCCAGGCGGCGCAAGGCAGGTCGCTACGCATCTAAGGGACGGCTGCCCAGGGAACACGCGGTGACCAGCGGTGCCACTGAAGTCAAGCTTTCACATCAAAGCTTTAAGGGAGCCGGTGCCGCGGCTCACTAGGCTAATCCTCCGCCTTGCGGCGCCGGCACACCAGGTTCTAGTCCCGGTCGGGGCGCCGGATTCTGTCCTGGAGCTAAGACTAAGCCGGCACCATGGCTCACTAGGCTAATCCTCTACCTTGCGGCGCCGGCACACCGAGTTCTAGTCCCGGTTGGGGCGCCGGATTCTGTCCCGGTTGCCCCTCTTCCAGGCCAGCTCTCTGCTGTGGCCAGGGAGTGCAGTGGAGGATGGCCCAAGTACTTGGGCCCTGCACCCCATGGGAGACCAGGATAAGTACCTGGCTCCTGCCATCAGATCAGCGGGGTGCGCTGGCTGCAGAGGCCATTGGAGGGTGAACCAACGGCAAAAGGAAGACCTTTCTTCTCTCACTGTCCACTCTGCCTGTCAAAAAAAAATTAAAAAAAAAAAAAAAGCTTAAGGGAAGTCTGCAGACGGGGGATGGGGAGCCCAGAGGAACCCCTCTGCTGTGGGCAGACAGGTGGACGAGGCGGAGAAGGGGCCGCCAGCTGGGCGCTCGGCACGTGCGCCAGGCCTGGGGCGTCTCCAGTGATGCTGTGCGCAGCGCTGGGCAGCCGGCACGCTTCCACTCGGGGCACACTGCCGAGAAAGCAGCAGCCACAGGCGAGGGAGCAAACGGACATTTACCAAACCCCAGCCTACATCATGCTGGCCAGATGCTATCACCCCACTTTTCAGACCAGGAAGCTGAGGCCCACGGCTGTGAAGTGACACAGTTAAACCCCCATCCTTCTCCACGGAACCTCGCAAAGGGATGAGACCCGGCCTCTCCCACCCCAGTGCTTGCCTCGGTCCAGCCCAGCCTCCGGGCACCGAGGGGCCTGCGCCATTCTTCACCAAGGGGCAATCCCCTGCCGAGGTGTGCAGCCTCCAGGGCTGCGCGGCCCCTCCCTGCCGAGCCTTGTTTTCGCCCGGCCGGGGCCCCAGCTCCAGTCTGACGGGACCTGGCCCGGTGTTTGCTAAACAGGCTGGGTTGGTGGAAGCTCACTGTTTGCTCACGGTGGCAAGGAGCAGGCAGAGGAAAAGGACAGTGACAGAGGTCATCGGGGTGGCTTGTCCCCGCGACACCAGCAGCAGCAGCACTGTCTCCTCCCCCTGCCACGCGGGTGTTCTAGGCAGGTAAGAGCCGGGGCTGGCCCTCCAGGGTCTGCCTGCTTTCTAGGGAGCCCCGCCTCCATGCCTACAGGCTCTGCAGCTCTCAGCGGGGCGGGTGGGCGGCTCCAGAGTTCTGGAATCCGTCTGCGCGGTGTTTGCCAAACACTACCAGGAAGCCTGGAAGCAGGCTGCAGAATGAATTTTGGTGAACCGCAGCTGGTATTTTTTTTTTTTTTAAAGAAATGAACAAAACAGAAAATACCAGCGCGTACTGCGCTTAGAACAAATACTGTTTTCTGAGACTTGTGTTTTGGCAATGCTGGGTACAAACCTACTTTGGGTTCGGGTTGTAATATGAGCCCTGCTTGCTGCAGCTCCAGGGGAAAATACACAGGATCAGAGGCCCCCACACCCCGCCTTGCCTCGGGACAGAGACCCTGGGGGCAGCTTGAAGCACTTGACCCTGAGCGCTTCACTTGGCCGAAACCGAGCTACAGGTTCCTCGGGAGAGGCGGGGGAGGCCTTGCCAGGAGGAAGCCATGACGCCAGTCTCTGGGGACAGATGACGTCTGGACTGGCCTGGCCAGGTAGGCCCAGCCCGTCTGGAGGCAGGAGAAGGCCAAGGAGAGTAGGGCAGGGCCCTCCCAGACCAGCTGGGCGGTTACGCACATGACGAGTCACTTGCGGCATGCAGGCTGCGTGCGCTGCGTGACTCGTGGGTGCACAGGGGCCCTGCACTGCCACCTGCCTGGGTTGCCGCCCTCACAGCCCCCAGGGCCCCGCCTCTCCTGGGCAGAAATGGGAAGCCCCAGGTGCCAGGCCCTGCAGAGCGCCGGCCACTGTGCTGACACAGAGCACTGCCTGGGGAACTCAGCTCCAGGTACCACCACGCCGGTTTGCCTGCAGCTTCCCCTGAGGGCGGCTGGCCCTGCTCAGCTCCATTTCAAGATTCCCAGTTACGCATCCTGGGGCTGAGGACTGGGCCAGGGCTGGCCGGGAGGGCTCTGACTGTAAAGGAAGGGCCGAGAAGCACTAAACAGTGTGGTAGCCGCTGTTGGCTGCCCTGTGCCCCAGCCTGGCCTGGCCTCAGCTAAGCCAGACAGCGTAGGAAGGGCGTCCTGTTGGGCTGGGGAGCCCCCGGAATCCAGCAGCGTGTCACTGGACTCCAGGAAGTGACACGTGGAGTTAGAGCCACACTCCGCTGCACAGGCAGGGGCCGTGCGGGGGCCGCGCGCGGGGGCCGTGCCTTCCAGACGAATGCCGTTGGGGTAATCAGGCTGTTCCGGTCCATGCTTTGGAACTTGAGGTCCCTGAGCTCAGAGATATCATGTTCTGGGGACAATACGTGGCATTTCGGCTCTGAAAGGCATTTCCTGCTTATTCCTATGGGCTGGGAAGGAGACTGCTTTTCTTGATGGTATTCAGGCAGGAGGGGTGTACTGCGTGTCATCGGAGGTTGGGTAGAGGATCTGGCGTCTCTCATGTGGAAGAAAACCCGCAGGATTCCAGCCCGGTCTGGGCGCTGGCACCACCCTCCCTGTGGCCATAGCCCTCTCGCTGCCATGTGAGGGCCTTGGACTTTGCTCAGATGCCCCGGGGTGGGCAGAGAGCTCGGGCCACTCGCCACCAGTGCCTGGGGGACAGAGCCCTCAAGCCCTGGCTGTGATGACCCCCATGCCGTGCCAGGGAGCCCTGGCACCTCAGGCCTGGGCACTTCTACCCTGACGGGTCGCTTCTGAGCTCCTGGGGTTCATAGCCCTTGGCTGGTGAGGGGGAGCCCGCCAGTGTCCCTGGGGTCCTGTCCGGAGCACCGATAGGCCCGTGGGGTCTATTATTGTCCAGGGATGGGTCAGCACCTGAATCCAGGTTTTCAAAGAGTAAGGTCAGACCTCTAGGGCTTGGAGGTCAGCCAGGAGAACAGAAGGAGACCCTGCCTGGGTGTTCTCCCCGGCCCATGGCTGAAAGTCGAACAGCCGAGCCCCGGCCCCACACAGCCCCGCGGGGTCGGTTCCCTTAGCCCGGGAGGATTTTTCCAAACCAGACAAACCTCGATCTTCCTGCCTCTGCCATGGCTGTTTGGTCAAGCGGGGGCTGGGACCGAAACCGGTCAGGCTCAGAAGCACGGGCACCCCGCAGAGCTGTGCCCACCCCACATACCCTCACAGTCGGGAAGCCAGGAATGTTGAAGTCTCTGCACACCGCACTGTTGGTCTCGTCGGCGCAGTCCAGGGCAGCGAGATTCAGCGCTGGTCTCCAATCTGAAAGGACAACACCCTGGGGTAAGAAACGGGGTGGGGGGGGGCACACCCCCAGGCAACGCCCACCTGCCCTACCCCCGCAGCTCTTCTGAGCTAGGGCACCCCTTCCTCAGAAAGTCTGTACTAGCCCCAGGGCTGGTGTCACGGTATCGCGAATTAAGCATCCCATACCAGAGCGCCACTTAGAATCTCAGCTGCTCTGCTTCCGATCCAGCTCCCTGCTAATGTGCCTGGGAGAGCAGCACAAGGTGGCCCAAGTACATGGACACCTGCACCAGAGACCCGGATGGAGCTCCTAGCTCCCGGCTTCAGCCTGCTGTGGAGGCTGAACCAGCGGATGGAAGATCTCTGTCTCATTTTGCCTTTCATATAAATAAAAAATTTAAAAATATTTTTTAAAAATGGGGGTATGTGCCGTGCTTTGGACGCAGTTAAACAAGCACAAGTAATGTTGCCTTGTAATGGTATCTGTGTTCTCCCACTGCTCTGCAGGGTGGTGGGTGGGGGCGGGGCTGGGGGCTGAAAGAGATGAGAGAGGAGGTTGCCCCGCCTCCCCCAAGCTCTGGTATGGCCTCCACCCTGCAGCCCTCCGGGAGGCGGTCAATTCCTGAAGGGTGGGGGGCAGGCATGCATGGGGGTGGGATGACCTCCCCAGTGGACCCCGGGGGATTCTAGGCCAGGTGTACTGGCAATCAGCCCTCCTTGGATGGCGGGGCAGAGGGTTTGGGGGATTGGGTCCCGCGCCAGATGTGGAGGCAGGAAACCCAGGGGAAGAAGACGAAGGCACCTGGAATCCAGGAGCCACAGGGAAAGAAGCTTCGAGGCCTGAGGTTGGCAGTGGATCAGCCCTGCTCCCCCACCCGGCCCAGGCCCCTCTCCGCTGGGGCTTTCTGGCAGGGAGACCAATGGCACAGGCCAAGACTTGGGAAGCAGAAAGCAACTGGCAAACCAGGTGGGTGTGACGCCAGGTCGGGGGCCCCCGGAGCACCCGCCAAGGTTCTGGCCTACAGAAAGCGGGCCCCGGCTGGAAGGCAAGACCTACAAGACCCACGTGAAGCCACACCAGCTGTGATACCGGACCTCCGGACCACGGCACGGGCCTCACAGGAAATTGAGTCCAGGGAACAGGAAACACAGCAGGAAGGCCAGGGAGGGAGCAGCCAGGCCATGCGGGGCTCTGGGAGACCAGGCTCCCAGGGGAGGGGAGGCCGGGACAGATAGGGGCAGAGAGGGGCCAGGGCTGTCCCCATCTCAGCTTGGGGCCCCGGGCAGCCCTGGGACACACACACAACTCCAGCACAGGGACCCAGGGGTGGGGATTTCACAGGCAGCCCACCCTGTACCCACCCTGACACAGCTGGATAAGGCGCCCGTCAACCAGCCAGGACATAGCACTATTTCATAAGGCCTGAGAGCCCAGGCAGACTCCATGCCCAAGGCAGGAATGGCAGGCTTACTGCCATGAGACAGAAGCAGGGAGAGCCAAGCTAACTCTGCCCCACCCCGCAGAGGAAAGCCACACAGGAAGCTGCACACAGGAAGCCTCCCCACCCCCGCCCCTTGCTTGCTGGCAGTCTGTCCAGGCCACTGGAGCTAAGGGAGCCTGCAGGGGAGCGAGCCGGGAAGGGTTAGGGAGTGCATGGAAGTGTTTAACAGAGACGGACTCTAAAGAGGCCCTCAGCAGAGACAGGCCAGCCACATCCCAGCACTCCGTCTTCCCAACTTGCCCAAACCTCGGCCTCGCCAGGCCCCTCCCCTGGCCCGTAAGGGCAGCCACTTAAGCTGGCCCAAACACTGCAAGCTGGTGGTGAGCCGCCGCACAAAGAGAGGTGCAGTCGGGGCCTGCTCCGATGCCCGGGGCCACCCCGCTCCTGCCCCCACCTGCACCCCTTGGCAGGGGCAGCACCAGGCAGCCCGCCCACACGCACATCTGCTCATCCTAACTGCCACTACCTCCGTCACTCTCCCTCCCATCCCCTGCCCGGCCTCCCTGCATTGTCCTGCCTTGGCTGGGGCACCTGGTTCCTTGCCCCCAGGAGTTCTAATGTGCTCCGTGGATCCGACTGTCACCTTCCATCACTGTTCTTTGGTGGCTCCCCTTGCCTTTGGGAGAATCTCCAGGCATCGGCAATTCCTCCCCTGGCCCGGCCACCCTTGGAGGCCGCACAGGGCTCTCTCCCATCTCCAGACCACGCCCCAGAAGAAAGGGCCTCCACAGCGCCCCCCCCCCCCCCACTCAACCTGGGCATCAGGCACAATTCAGGTTGGACAGCGCTTCCTCCAGGAAGAGCCACTTCACAGGCCCCGGGGCTCAGGGACCTGGCTCACCGTCCTGCCCATCGACAGACGTCATGGTGCCTTCCCGTGCTCACCGCCTAGCATCCCCATTCCCCAACACATGACAGGTACGCAGCGCATGTTTGTAGAATTACATCACTGACCCGGGCCAGGGCCGGCCCTCAGCAGCGCTCAGCCTCAGCCCTCCCTCAGGTCCCCGTGCAGGGGGAGGCAAGGTAAAAGCCGGCCCCCTGTGATGGCAGGCATGAGGGGTGAAGCAAGACCACAGGAGTACAGACTTCCACAGTGGGTCCTGGGCAAGAGCAGCCCAGCACCCCAAGGGAAGACCAGGCGCAGGAGGAAAGTGTAGGTCCCTCTGCCAGTGCGCGCCATCGGGTATGAGCACAGGCAGAGGGTCTCTCGGGGCCACTCGGCAGGGGACGGAGGACCACACCTGCTCCTCTCCAGGCCAGTGTCAGAGGCTGGTGAGGCATGGAGACTCTGGGTGGGACGGCTCAGGAACGGGAGGCTGGCGTTCAGGGAGCAGCAGGGCCCACCCTCACCTGACTCCACCATCACAGAAGGAGGAAGCAGGCCGAGCTTGTCCAAACCCCACTTCCTCTTCCTGCACCTCACCAGGGTCAGGGTGTCACCTTTCTATGGGTGTTGTCTGCTCCGATTACAAAACGGTTTTGTTTTCTAGTTGAAGATGCTTCAACTGGAAGGGCCTAGACCGAGCTCCTGCTGAGGTGGTATCAGCAAATGCGCTGAGAGTTTATCCTATACCCAATCTATCCAGGTTAGTGCTCCCCACAACACTATCAGGAGAGCAAGTGGGCATTTATCTCTAAACCTGCTCTCCTTGGTGTGTGATACAGCGATTAGATAGCTGAGCCCAACGCACACAGACCTGGGACCCGAACCCAAGATCTGAGCCTCTGCCCAAGTCTCAGGAGGGCTCTGGCCTGCACAGTGAGTCACTCTATCAGCTTCCGGGGACACGCTATCAGCTTCTATTAGCTTCTATCAGCTTCCGAGCCACTCTATCAGCTTCCAGGGCGCTCAGGAAGGGTGGGTGGGTTGGCAGCGGAGGACGGGGGAAGCGATGCTTGGTAGCTATCTCTGCCTGCCTGTCTCTCGCTTTGAGTCCCTGGGCACTCACCAGACCAGCCCAGCCCCAGGGGCAGGCGGAAGTGGAGGCTGGGGCCAGTGGGATGCTGGGAAAGTCCTGACCAAGGACTTGATGAGCCATGGACTGACCCGGGTCGCTGTGGCCCTGACCACTCATCACCCCAGGACGTCACAGCTCTACAGGAGGCCACTGATGTGACCGGGGCTCCTGCACCAGGCCTGAGAGACTGGCCAAGAAGCAGTCACTCCCACGGCCGCGTTGAAGTGAGTCTCGTGGATCTGACCTTGTGGGAACCCGGGAGACAGAGAGGGAGAGAGAAGACAGCCGGATTGACAAGCAGGCCAGCTGCAGCCTGCATGATCAGGAAGTCTCCGCTTCTTTAACCTTTACAAGGAAAGTGACTTTGAAATGGCCCGTCTACTTTTTGTTCCTGCTCAGCTACACCAATCAATCCGAAAATCAGGTTACAGCCATCCGCGATCTTCACGCGAACCTCGCTTTCATTTTGCCTTTGCAGAGTTCCGCTCGCTGCCAACAGGGCCCTGATGACACTGCTGGTGACCCCTGCTCCCGAGACCCCTGGAGGCACACAGAGAGGGGCTTCCTGAGGTCCCTCCTCTTCCTCTGCTCTTTCTGTCCTGAGCCCCATTCTGTCTGGCTTTCAAATTCGGAGTCAGCATGTGCTGGGAGGGGACCCTTTTCGGTTCTGCAGTACCCTATGAGTCACCGGCAAGAATGACAAAAACCAGGACTGGGTCTTGCAGGGAGGCCTCGGGCGTCCGGCTGGGTCACACAGAAACTGCCGGTGAAGGGCAGTCCCTGCAGGGGTGAGGCTGGCTCTCGGGGGGATGGGGATCATCGGCCGAGCTGGACAAGATGACCTCAGAGCCAAAGCCACCGTCTGACTGCGAGGCACTGGTCAGGCGTGTGGGAGCTATTAAAGCACTCGCCACCGAAAACTTAAGACGCCCGTGTAAGCTCAGGCAGCAAAGGGACACTGGGAAAGGATCTTGGGGCACTGTCAGGCAGGAAGTCAGAAATTAGTCCATGTGTGTGTGAGACAGGCCTGAAGACCAGCACCCACTGCGGAAGCCCCAGAAGCCCCCCATCTGGCACTCCAAAGTCCTGCCCAGACCCTGATAACCTCCCAGGTGGTCCCAGCCCTTCCCCCAAGGAAAGCTCCCAGAATTCTCTCCTCAGGACCAAAGGGGTTACCTGATAACATGGGGCAGCAAAACCTTCACAGAGCCCTAAGGGAAGCCCCCCTACTCTGCCGGGGTCCAGCAAATCTGGGGAGGAATTTTGCTAATTTTCAGCCAACAAACCCTCCCTCCAGGACTCCCCATCCTTTGTCCTGGAGGAGAGGGGGAGGTGGGTAAACAGACTCCCCTAAAAACCTAGGGAGTCCAAACGGATGGCGCCCCCAGCCCTCTGCTCTCTGCTGAGCCGCCCGCCTGGCCTGCCCAGGTGTACTCTCTCCATCCAACCACGCAACCTCGCTCTCCCCAGCCCCAGTGACTGGGCGCCCTCTCTCTGTCCCTTCATCCTGACGGGTGCCCTGTTCCCAATAAAGCCTTACCACTCTGCGCTG